CATCATCAACAATGCTATCGAAGCCGCTAAAGTATCCCTCGCTGACGCCGAAAGAGTCAGACAACTCTCTTTCCCAGGCAAATGATACACAATTGGAAATACAGAGGTCTCGAGCACAGGCTAAAGTTATGTTAAAACTGCGGAGAATCTTCGAGGAAATAGACGTGGATGAGAATGGAAAACTAGACAGAGATGAGCTTGAGGTTTGCTCTTGGCTGCGAACTGAAGACGTCCTGTTCGCCTCACACCAGAACTTATCGTTGTATTAGTACATTGAGTCGCTGCTTGTTGATAACAATGCATAACGACCACGTTGTATATTCCAGGAAGCCTCGCGCAATCCGAAAATCCTCGCACTCTTGTCGGAGATCCGTATGCCAGTGAAGGACATGGCTCAAGTCTTCGAATGTCTTGATGCCGATGGAGATGGCGAAGTCAATCGCGATGAGTTCCTCCAAGGCTGCGCCAGACTCCGAAGTGTGCTTGTGTGATCGCCTCGTTATACCAAGGCTACATCGTAGGTGATCCAAAGACACGTGACGTGAATCGGATACCAATTTACATCCAGTCGTTAGCCGCCCGAATCGAGTGGTATGAACAGAAAGTTGACGCCCTAGTCGACGAGGTGAAAATCTCTATTATGAGGAGTGGCGTTCGGCTCAACCTTAGGTGCTCGTGGTGTTAGAACGTAAAATGCGAGAGAACGGGGTCGAGGCTAATCATTTCAAGCGTCGTCAAGGTGTGAGTCTTTTCATCAGAGCTCCGATTACTCTCATAAGAATAGCCGCCGACTGGGTGCAGGGCATCGACATGAGAGCTCTAGAAGCTCTCCGAAAGGAAGCGTCGAAGCGGGGTGTGCATGACGATCGGAATGTGATCGATCCACAAGGCTGGGTCGATACCTACATACGTAACTTCAGGAGTTTGGCGTTGACGTCCACCGAGTGCGAATAGATCGATCGCACATACCATTTGCTCTGCCAATCGGTGCCGAGAATCTTCTGAAGAGCCTGCCGACTATCAGATTGTCA